CCCTAGCGCTGCCAGCAGCCCCCTCGGAGCGTGTGGGGAGCAGCCCGGCGCCCCGGGCCACCCGGGCATGAGCCGCGGGGCTTAGGTGGGCAGCGCGCCCCTGCTCAGCTCGGGGATGGATTTCCGGGCTGCCACTTTAAACTGCTGCTGCTTTGCCCTCGTCCTCCCCGTTAGCCAAGGTAAGAGCGCGATGGCCTGGCGAGGGAGCGGCGCTTCTGTCACTCGCTGAAAGTTCCACCGGCCGAGGGGGAGGGGGACGGTGTGTGTGACTGGGCTGAGTCTGCTCAGCTTCGCCTGCGGGCAGCTGTAGAGAGGGCGCGTCTGGGATGAGCCGGTGCCTTTAGCTGCTGCTTTGCCCTCGTCCTCCCCGTTAGCCAAGGTAAGAGCGCGATGGCCTGGCGAGGGAGCGGCGCTTCTGTCACTCGCTGAAAGTTCCACCGGCCGAGGGGGAGGGGGACGGTGTGTGTGACTGGGCTGAGTCTGCTCAGCTTCGCCTGCGGGCAGCTGTAGAGAGGGCGCGTCTGGGATGAGCCGGTGCCTTTATGTCCGTGAAGGAGAGAGGCTCAGGCGCGCGCACCCGGAGGGAGACTTTGGAAAGGTTTGTCACTAGGTCACGCAGACACTCTTGCACCCGCCATTTATAATCAACTTTCCTTTGGCCACAGTAGCCCGGAAAGCAGCAATTGACCGATTACTACAGTTTGCAGAAGGCCCCGTGTTTGCTGTTGTCGTCTCGGGGGGCAGTTGATGGTGCGAATGGGGAAGACAACTTGCAATCTTAGAACAAGTAACAGCTATGAAAGCTTTCCGACGGCCGTCTCACGCTATTTTTTTAAAGACCCGAGTATTTATTTACACGATGTATGGTTTTTTTTCTAGATCAAGTTCCTTCCAAGTTCTCATTTTCTGTTATTGATTTGTAAATACTATTCTTCTCATTGAGAGCGGGCAGGGGTTTGTCTTGCAACTTCATTATTTCAAAACTTAATGATTGCTTTTGAGATTAATATTATTGAGCAGATTCCATTCAATTGTCTGCAAATAACACGTGACGTTTTGTCTGTTTAACTTTTGTCATTGTGCACGTTAATCAAAATTAGTGTTTCTTCATAACACAGCTTTATTGAATGGATTGAACCTTTGTACTATCAATTTTTAGAATGCAAATTATTTCTAACTAAAGATACTTTTGTACTAGGGGTAGCTGTAAATAGTATAATTAGAGCAGAATGCGATGTGCTAGAACATTTGGACCTTTTATGTAATTTTCAGTTTTATGTAAATTGGTAATGCAAAAACGTTGCATGTGCTCAAGTGGTTTCACTTGTACAGTTCTGAGGAACTTCCATTCCAGTTATCTAGTAAGTGTATTAGTGGAAATGCTATGAGATATCTTTATTTAAAAACATGTTTTATTTTTAGATGGTGAACAAATATTAATTTTATATATTTTGGTTGGATTTAAAGCATCGGTAATCTACACAGAATGTGGTGATATGGTTCTTTTTAGTGCAATTACTTTACAAATCTCTTTTCCAGGTGTTGCTTGTAAACCTGGCTGCCACCCAGTGAATGGATTTTGTGAAGTTCCCAGTGAATGCAGGTAAAGAGATTTACCAGCTGAGTTTATTAGTGAAGGGACTGGTTGCTTCAATAATACTTGTTTCTTGAAAAATAAAGACAGAAATTAAAATGATTTGCCAGCTGAAAAAGTGATGTAAGAAAACCACTTCCCCTTAACAGACTGTAACTTAGAATTGTGTAACATATTAAAGAAACCTGGATGCCCCTCAGAATGAATATTTCTGTCAAATATATCCTAGGAGCCACCTGTGCCTTTAAAAAGGAGAATAGCCTGGTAATTATTTTTTTTAAAGTCTATATCTTGTTTTATGTCTATTTCAGGTGTCAACCTGGGTGGCAAGGAGCTCTCTGTAATCAGTGTGTTCCTTTTCCTGGTTGTGTGCATGGCAGCTGTGCCAAACCATGGCAGTGTGTCTGTGAAGAAGGATGGGTTGGCAGCCTTTGTGATATAGGTTTGCAAATACTTTCCTTTAATAGATCAACAATTTCCCAGAGATTAAATGATCACAGCTCCATCTGGTGTTGGAAATATGCAAAAGTTCTTACCTAGATTTCTGAATATTTGTCCCAAAACACGATGAGAATCTTTTTTGGAGGGCTGGGGGCAGAGGGAAAACATCCTATGCATTCACATCTTAAGTGAAAAAACATAAAATATTGTGTATAATATAGTCCTGGGCGGTGCATTAGAACTATGTATAAAACCCTAATTCCACTTTAACTGTCACATGCAGATGGTAAACAGTAAATTCTGCCCTGGCTTTATAAAGGTAAAAGGTCCTCCTGAGTGTGTTAAATCAGTTGCAATAATTCATTATACAACATTTCATGCATATGTTAGTATAAATTGAAATAAATACACAAGTTTGTTGCTTGACTAAATATTTCCTAACAAAAGATTTGAATGTAACTATTGGAAAATGTAACACTTAATTCTTTCCTCACTCAAATCACTGTAGATTAAAAGAAATTCTGATGATTCAATAGAGCTGCATCAATGTAAAAGGAGAATTGGGCTAATGTTTTTGCTAGTCTTCTAAGTTTCATCATTTGCTGGTTTATCATAAGTTAATTTGTTGCTGTGTACAAGCAGCGGATTCAGACTAACATGGCTACCCCCTGCAAAGCTTTTCCACAAAAGCAGCTGCTTTTGCGGAGAAACTTGCCAGCTGTCTACACTGGCCACTTGAATTTCTGCAAGAATGCTGACTTCCTACTGTCTGAAATCAGTGCTTCTTGCGGAAATGCTATGCTGCTCCCGTTCGGGCAAAAGCCCTCTTGCGCAAATGCTTTTGTGCAAGAGGGCCAGTGTAGACAATGCGGTATTGTTTTGTGCAAAAAAGCCCCGATCGTGAAAATGGCGATCGGGGCTTTCTTCTGCAAAACCGTGTCTAGATTGGCACGGACGCTTTTCCGCAAAAAGTGCTTTTGCACAAAAGCGTCCGTGCCAATCTAGACACTCTTTTCCGCAAATGCTTTTAATGGAAAACTTTTCCGTTAAAAGCATTTGCAGAAAATCATGCCAGTCTAGACGTAGCCATTGTGTACAGTAACATCATGTTCAAGAACTCATTCTTATTCGTGTAGTAGTTCTCATTGAGTATATGAAAATCTCTTAAGTGACTTAAGAGATGCCATCATCTTTCAATTTAACTTTGGTTCATATGGGCCAGATTTTCAAAGGTATTAAGATACCAGAGATTCAGATAGGGACCTACAGAGATTTGAGAAGCATGTAGGTAGGTTAGGTTCTCTTTTTTTGAAAATCCTACTATGCACCTATTTGGATCTTTAGGAACCTAAATACCATTGAAAATCTGTCCCTTTTAAAAATGGAACTTGGTCACTTGCAATCAATGGGCATTAGGAACCTAGTTTGTCACTTCTGAAAATAACATTAGTTTCCTATCTAGAACTTGAAGCACCAAATGCTTAAATCTGTCACTAAATCAGTTTTGAAAATAACTTAGGCAGATTTGTAAATGTTGGCCATTATCTTTAGATCATGCTTGATATTACTAAATATATAGACACGCAAAAGTTATTTCACTGAACTCTAGGGGTATGGCTACACTATGCAATTATTTTGAAATAAGCTATTTTGGAATAATAACTCCTAAAATAGCTATTTTGAAATAGCATGTCCACACTGCAGGGAAGTCTCATAATTAGTTGGAGGCAGGCTCCCCTAATGTAGACACGCTACCCCAATTTAAAGTCCCAGGAAGCACTGGGGAGTAATTATTTCTAATGGCTTTGGGGAGGAGCTATTTTGAAATAGCAGTAGTGGAGCGTCCACACTACCACTATTTTGAAATAGGCATTATTCCTCATGAAATTAGGGTTTATTATTCTAGAATAAGAAGCCTGTTATTTTGAAATAAATAGTGGGCTTGCTATGTGGACACTCACCTTGTTATTTCAAAATTTAATCACCTGCCCAGCCATGATTAAGTTGTTTAAATAAATGTGTTGCAATGGTAGAAAAAAAAATTGTGTGTCTGAAAACTGTAGGTAATGGGGGTACTTATAATTTTTTGTTTGAAAAAGGGGTACTTTGTTTAAAAAAAAAGATGAGAAACACTGTTCTAGGAGTCCGGTTTTGCCAACTTGAATATAGAACCAGTCAAGAACGTGTTAAGAAGACTCAGAATGGTAGAATTAGCTGTTGGTCCAATGTCTGGACATACAAGGTTTATTAAAAACCATGTCACCCCAATGGATTTAGCTGGTTGGACATGGTCTCCCATTCATAATGGGTCAGCAGAGAAAAGCTTCCTCCCTGTTATCAGATAGCCTGTACACATGATTGTGGTGATCCAATAAAGCAATATAACATGAAATGGAGCAACTAACTCAGACGTTGTGATGAATTGCTATAACTCATTAACACATATCACCAATCCAGATTTAATCAGGTTAGGAGAGAGAGGAAATTCTACAGAACAAATTGGAGGCTGCTGCCCAACTTGGGATGGTTAGCTTGTATGAATAATTGACTTTCATATGGAAATACTAAAGTCAATTCAGCACTTCAATATAAAATACTATAAAGGAATCCCTCCTTAATACTATCTTTGCATGAGAGAAATGGAGACAACCGATGTTACATTTTCACAAGCAAATGGACCTAAATTGGCATAGCAGCTCAAATCAATGGTCCATGAAACTTAGCAGTGTCATGTGTTTATTAACAAAGTGCACGAAACCCTTCAGTCAACTGCTAATGGGGAAGTGTCTTCCTAGTACAAACAATTACTAATTGCTGAAGCATGGCAGGTTCTCTCTTTGTATGTACTATTTTAATTCTATGTAAAATAATTGTAGATATTCTCATCCATGTAAAAATCTAATCCTTTTCTGAATTATTAGCTATTAGCCAGAATGGGCAGGAATGGTGTCTCTAGCCTCTGTTTGTCAGAAACTGGGAATTAATAACAGGGGATAGAGCACTTGATGATGACCTGTTCTGTTTTTTCCTTCTGGGGCACCTGGCATTGGCTACTGTTGAAAGACAGGATACTGGGGTAGATGGGCCTTTGGTTTGACTTGGTGTGGCTATTATGTTCTTATAAATTCTCTTATGTTCTGTATCTGAGTTATCACGTATGGCAAGATATTCCACAGCTCATTAATCATAGGAGAGAAGAATGGGGGGATGGGGGGGGGGGGGGGGAGAAGAGGTGTTAAATAGCAAATATATTTGTATAGGCTCAAGGACTGTATGTCATTTTCCTAGCTAGTGAGCTGTTATACATCTTATTTTCTTTAAATTTATTAGATGTGTGTCTGTTTCAGGGTATCTTCTTTCTCATGTATCAAGCTTGCCAAAGTGGGCACACAACACTCCTGCAAAAAGTAGTCAAGGCTATTTTGGTCCTTATGGAAACTTCCATTTACACATAAAAGTTTATATAACATGGTAGTGTGGCAATTGGGACAGGGTAAGATGGTGGAAAATAGGCATTTTACTATAATTGAAGTTGAACAAATTGTATAGTTATAGTTAATATTTTACATTGCCTCATGATATTCATCTAGGTTCACATTATCTTGTGGGTTTTTGGTGAGAAGTAGAATTTATTACTCACCTCATCTTTATTTATCACTGGAGAAACCTGGAGAAATTTGTAAATATACCATTTTTAGATTGTCTAGTGCTTTATCTGAGTTATTTTCATGGAGTAATTGGGAATGTGAGATGGTGTTTATAGTAATTGGTAGCTCTTCCCTTAGCTCTAACTTTTTATTGTTAAGATTACTTATTTATAGGGAGAAGCAATCCAAGTATATTTCACAAAGTGAGAGCTAATGGGTAGGGAACAAGGTGACAGAGCCTACGAAGTAACTGAATTATCATCTTCTATTAGACAGAATAAATCAAAATATATGCAATGTAGGATGAAGGACCTTTAAAAATGCACTTAGTCTTTTTGCATTGTTTATTATTTAATGGCTCTTATATGACAAAGTAGGCCCTGATTTCTCATATGCAAAATATTTTAACCTCACAACTAATAATGTTTTGATGTAACAAACTGTTTATTTTTAACATAGATATTCATCCATGTTCTTCAAAACCCTGCACCAATAATGCAACATGCATAGAGACTGGAGATGGTGGATATATTTGTTTGTGCGCCAAAGGATTTACAGGAAAAAACTGCCATCTGAAAAAAGGGCCCTGCATTATTAATGGGTAAATATTGATTTCTGATATAAATATACAGTCTTGCTAATTTTTTCTGTGATTTAATTATTAAAAGTATTTGCTATGTAGCATATAACTTTACATCCTGGATGATAGTTTAGTTTCTAGCCTATTTGTTTCTTGACTCAAATCTACTAATTCTGATCTATTCCTATTATATAAATATGGTCAAATTTTTAGCATGAATTTGTGTGCATAATTTGAACTTCAGATATACAAAAGTACACTTATTGTAATAGTCAGGGCTCAACAAATTAGTCAATCTACTCGCCCGGGGTAAATAGATTTTAAGCCGGCATGGTGCTGCAGCGCGATCAGTGCATGCACAGCGCGGTCTGCACATGTGCAGCGTGCCAAACCGCATGGCTGGTGAGCGGGGCTCGCCGCCACTTGTCAAGCCCTGGTAATAGTATTAGGTTTGGGCATATTTTACAATCTCAATTTGTCAACATCAAAAGAATGTTGATGGGGCTCTTAATAAATAAGTAAACTTACAATCCAATTAAGGCCAAAAGAGCAGTAGTCAACCAGCAACTTCCCTCCGCCCAAAAGAACTCTGTCTACACCAATGTATTTGAACTCCCACAAAACTCTGCACCCAAGCTGTGTCTACACTGGCGCGATCTTGTGCAAAAGCGGCCACTCTTGCACAAAAACTTGCTGTCTACACTGGCTGCGTGTTCTTGAGCAAGTAAACTGACATTCTAATGTATAAAATCAGGGCTTCTTGCGTGAGAACTCTGACGCTCCCACTCAGGAATAAGCCCTCTTGCACAAGAGCTCTTCCAGAAGAGGCCAGTGTAGACAGTCAACATGAATTTCTTGCGCAAGAAAGCCCTATGGTTAAAATTGCTATCAGAACTTTCTTGCGCAAGACAGAGTCTACACTGGCATGGATGCTCTTGTGCAAAAGCACATGCCAGTGTAGACGCTCCCTTCTGCAAGAGTTTTTGCAGAAGAACTCTTCCGCAAAAGTGTTTTTTGCGTGAGAATGTGCCAGTTAGACGTAGCCCCAGTGTTGAAGCTAAAAAAGAGGAGACATGCTCATTAAATCAGCAGAGGAAGGGAAGGGCTTGGATGGGCGAGCACTGCTTCATCAGGCCAGAGAGAGGAGAGGGAGTTTCTGTCCTCTTGCCACCCACATTCCTCCTTGCCCAAGCCTCTCTGCTCTGCTAAACCCACCAAACCTCAGACTTCCCAAAATGCCTGTCCAAATTGATGTGCTTGGCAGCATGCTCTGAGGGACATTGCAGCTGGGTGTGTGCTTCCCAGCTATGTGCTAGCTTTGCTTGAACTAGTGTTGCTGGGGATAGCACAGGCCATAGCTTGACAAGCTGCCTGAGTATAAATCTACCTGGCCTCCCGAGACTGGAACTCAAGTGACCAGCCAGAGACCCTGCCTATGCTACCCTGGCTACATGGCTATTTTAGCACATTAGCTCAAGCAGACTTAGCATGTGTCACACCCACTCTGGCTGTGAGGCACACTCTGTGTTGTAAGGTAAATCCTATATAATGCACAAATTATAGGAAATTAATACCAGTAAACAAGGTCAATCAAGAATGTAATGCCTGAAATATGGATACATACTTAATTAAAACAGGTAACAAAAGATTTGGAAAGATAAACATTAAGAGGCTGAAATAGCAATGAAGAGTTAGAATGAATATAATGTAATGAAATTCAAGATTTTATTCATTGACAAAGCCTGGCAGTATTCTGATACAATAAACTCTATGTGCAGTATGGTATTTCATTAATGGCTGAGATCAAATTGATATGGGGAAAATAGACTCTTAGGAATGAACTTATTATTTGTGACTCTTGTCTTATTGTGGCTTTTTCACTGCACATTTTGTCCATGATGCAGCTGTAGTTTGGTTCTAATGTTATAGCTGGGACATAACCGTTTGAAAAATGGTGAATAATTTTTTATGAAATTTGAAAATATCTATCCGGCTCTAGGAGGAATCTATTCCCTGTCAAGAGTTTTCTCACATTCTCTTAGCATCTGAGGGCCTGTAATCTTCATTCATTTTATTATGGAGCAGCAGGAGCTTCAGTACAGTTACAGTTGCTACCAACATCCATTATAAAATACTGGTTTAGCCTCCCCAGGGCTTTGGCTTGGAAAACTGTCTTAGCCTGAAAGCTGGCGGATTTCCCTTGAGGATGAAGCAGAATATTTCTGCAAAGCCTGAAGAAAATTAATCAATCTATGTGTTATAAACCACTTTAAAAATAATTACCCTGATTTGAAACATTAACTTGTTAAAGGTTTCCTTTTCTCCCTTTAGCTCAACAATTGTGTGTTACAACTCTTAGCCTTTTTGTGTGGGTAAATCTCTTTGGAATGTTCTGCACTCATTATCTCTGAAAAAAGTGCGTTCTAATTGAGCAAACAAATATACATTTTGTATAAGGCTTTGACCCAAATATGCTACAGTTTTGTCGTAAAAACGGCCATTTTTCTGACAAAATCTGAGTTACATCCACACTGCAAGAGCATTCTTTCAACCGTAAATCAAAAGAACACAGGGGTTTTTTGTGCACTTGGTATTTTGTGCAATTAGTATTCCTCATTCTATGAGGAAGAAGCCTTTTTGCGAAAGAGCTCTTTCACAAAAAGGTGTGTGTGGATGGGGAAGAGGGAATTTTTCCAGAAGAAGAGAGAAGAGGAAAAAGCACAGGTGCTCTGGTGGCCATTCTGTCCATAGCAATCACTGCTTACATGCAAGATAGCGTCCAGGCAGTCTGGACACTATCTTTTAAAAAAGCACATTGCTTTTTTGATGCACTTATGCAGTGTGGATGCTCTCTTTCAAAAGACGTTTTTTTGCAAGAGCTGATGGCTCTTGCTGAAAAGCTCAAGGTCCAGCTGATCACCGTATTTGGGATTGGGAAGGAATTTTCCCCGTATCTGATTGGCAGAGAGCCTGAGAGTTTTTTGCCTTTATCTGCAGGATGGAACAGTCACTTACAGGTTTTAACTCATTTAAATGGATTCTATGTAACTTGAAGTCTTAAAATAATGATTTGAGGACTTCAGTAACTCAGCCAGAGGCTATGTACCTATTACATGAACGAGGCTATGTCTAGACTTCAGGCTTCTTTCAGAAAAAGCTTTTCCGGAAGAGATCTTCTGGAAAAAATTATTCCGAAAGAGAGCATCCACACTGCAAAAGCGCATTGAAAAAGTGACCTGCTTTTTTTGAAAGATAGCGTCCACACTGAATGAAAACTAAATCGCATTTTAGCTGTGATTACTATGGACAGAGTGGGCACCAGGGCCCTTGTGCTTTTTCCTCTTTCCTCTTCTTTTGAAAGAACTCCCTCTTTCCTGTGCACACATGCCTTTTTCCGAAAGAGCTCTTTTGGAAAAAGGCTTCTTCTTTGTAGAATGAGGATTACCAATATTGGAAAACCCCCTCTATTCTTTTGATTTTCGTCTGAAAGAATGTGATTGCAGTGTGGACACAATTGAAGTTTTGTCGGAAAAATGTTTGTTTTTATGAAAAATTTCTGTAGTCTAGACATACCCTTAGTGAATGAGGTTCTGTGACCTGCAATGTGCAGGAGGCCAAACTAGATGTTAATGGTCCCTTCTGACCTTAAAGTCCATGAGTCTATGACTTTGTTCCAAACTTGTGCTCTATGTCAGTAGGGGTACGTCTAAACTACATGGCTCCGTCGACGGAGCCATGTAGATTTGTTTGTTTGGCAAAGTCAAATGAAGCCGCGATTTAAATGATTGCGGCTTCATTTAAATTTACATGGCTGTCGCGCTGAGCCGACAAACAGCTGATCATCTGTTTGTCTGCTCAGCGCGGCAGCCATGTAAATGTAAATGAAGCCGCGATCATTTAAATTGCGGCTTCATTTGCCTTTGCCTATGTGTCTAATCTACATGCCTCTGACGACAGAGGCATGTAGTCTAGACACAGCCTAGGAGATGTTTGCCATTGACTTCAGAGGAGCCAGTTTGGGCATTTTGTATAGATGTGAGTATTTTGCCATCATTGAAAATTACAACCAACCAATGTAAGGCCATGTGGTAGTCAGCAATGGAATTGGTGACATAACACAAGCCTAACGCAGATCTTCATTTAGCTCAGATAGTAAAGGTTTGGCTTTTAGGAGCTGGAGGACACCATTCCAATCACTTCTCATAAGCATGTGATGACTGCTTCTCAAATGAAATTACAGAGGGTGTGTTTACATTTATAAGTGCAGGGCTGGTGGGACTCCAGTCTGCAGACCTGGATTTATAGGCAATGTGAGGAATCTTGACAGTCTACCCTGGACGTTACAGGAAGTTGTTGCGCCTTTCCAAATTGCAAAGAGAACTTGCGGAGCCATTGTTTGAAGCCTGGAGCCACCAACATGAAGCCATCAATCTCTAAAGGCCTTCTCTTGCTTGTGCCTTCTCTACTGTTTCAGCAACCAGGCACTGCATCCTTGAGATGCTGGTGGACATTCCAGTGCCAGTTGCTGATCTACTGAAGGTGCCTGGAAGTGGAGGAGGATATAGACGTGGAAGAATGGAACTGACTGCTACTGCTCATGACTTTCAATGTAGTCATTAAGATTCTATGTAGACGAGTACTTCTGGACCAGAGCCCCAAGCACAGAGTGATGGGACCATATCATCTCAGGGACCTGAGATGACCAGCAGTGGGTCCAGAAATTTTGCATGAAGAAAGCTACATTTCTGTGAGCACCAAACACACCAGGATAACAATGCTTGCTTCTCAAGGAGCACATGTGTACATAAACTGAAGAGAATGCTGCTCCACTACTATACGCACCCTTGTGGACCACTGAGGGCTATTTATGAAGGCTAGCAAGGACTGCACTGGAAAAGGTTAAGTTTCTCAATGACTTAGAATTCTACACTCAATAACAGACTGATGTAAAATTCCAAGGAAATGATTCTCATGAATTGAGTTACTGTACTCACTGTTATCCTGGGGGGATACTACGTATC